AAACTACCAGCTGCCCCGCAGGAGAAAGATGAGGCTTTCTACTCCCATAAAGATTTACAGCCTTGGAAACCTTGTTTAGGGTCGCTATGGGTTGGAACCGACTCGACAGCACTTAATAACAGCACTCTCTCTTTATGAATGCATTTATCCAATATATATTCATTGTAACTATGGATAAGCATGAATTTATTGTGGCCATTTTCTTGTGTGTGCGGTGCTGCTAATTTCTTTGTTCCACTGAGTTAAGTTCTTTTGTGTGAATTTTCTTACCATTGTTGTTCATTGCTATTGTTTTAGGGTTCACTAAATCTATGATTTTCCTTTTTTCATTTTGATGAAGTCTGTTAATTTTTTAAGGTAATTAATTAATTGTTTGTTTTATCTTAAAGTTCTCTTTCTGTCCATTTGGAACTTCTGTAACTATACTTTTTATTCACTCTTTTTACTTTGAAATTCTCTCCATTTACAAATTGACATCTCGTTCTCTATATTCAGTTTTGCAGGTTTGTTTTCTTTGGACACTTGTATAACTAGGTTGCCTTCTGGGTGGTGTTATCATGTATTTAATCTCAGTATATTGTCTACCATTATTAGGTCTCTGCCTTGAGAACGCCCTTTAGTATTTCTTGTAAGGTTGGTTTGGTTTTTACAAATTCCTTTAATTTTTGTTTATCTGGAAATGCCCTGCTTTTGCCATTGTATTTGAGGGACAGTTTCGCTGGGTATATAATTCTTGGAATTTTTTTCTTTCAGAGTTTTATATGTTTCATTCCCTTGCAGCCTTGTTTGTATGATTTATGACACAAAATCAGAGCTCAGTCTTAATAATTTTCCTTTGCAGGTAAATTTTCATTTTTTCCTAGTTCCTTTCAAGATTTTTCCTTTGTCTTCAGTATTAGAAAGTTTGATTATGATTATGTCTGGGAGTTTTCCTCTGGGGGTCTGTCCTATTCGGACTATGTTGAGTGTCCTGAATGCATATCTAATTATCTCTCATGATAACAGGGACATTTTATACCAAGACATCTTTGAAAATTTCACTGTGATTTCCAGCTCTGGAACTCTGATCACACATAAGTTATTGCTTTTGATTATGTCTTTCATACTTTTTTGGCTTTCTTCATTTTATCCCTGTTCTTTTTTCTGATTGTTCTTCAAGCAGATTGTTGTTGTTGTTGTTAGGTGCCATTGAGTTGGTACCGACTCATAGCGACCCTATGCACAAGAGAACGAAACACTGCCCGATCCTGGGCCAACCTCACAATTGTTGCCACGCTTAAGTCCACCGATGCTGCCACTTTGCCAATCCATATCACTGGGGGTCTTCCTCTTTCTCTCTGACCCTTCACCTTACCAAACGTGATATCCTTTTCCAGTGACTGGTCCCTCTTGACAATATGTCCAAAGTATGAGAGGCGAAGTTTGGCCATCCTGGCCTCCAAGGAGCACTCTGGCTGTACATCTTCCAACACAGATCCGTTTGTTCTTTTGGCAGCTATGGCACTTTCAATTAGTATTGAGCAATTTGTCTACAAGTTTGCTAATTATTTCCTCCCATTGACTCAGTTCTGCTCCTTTGCTCTTTCAGTGTGTTATCTATTTCTGAAATCTTACTATTATTCTTCTGAATTTTGTTTGTTGCTTTTATGTGGTCACATGATTTCTTGAATTAGTCTAGAATTTTGCCGGTGTTTTCCTTGATTTTGTCTGTCTTTTTTTCAACATTTGCCTCAATTCATTGAGGATACGTAAATATAAATTTTGAATTCTTTCATCAGGCAGTTCCGATGATTTTTCATGTATAGGCTTGTTTTCTGTCTCTGCATTTCAGTCACTTGTTTGAGCCCACCCTCTCTGGTTTCTTTGTTTGAACTGAGGTTATCTGTTGTCTCCAGGACATTGTGGTGGTGGTGTTTTTGTATTTAATTTATATTGAATGTTGGAATGTTTCACCCAGGCTTTTTAAACTTTATTTTGCTTTGATACACCAGGAGACAGGTGGTAAGCACTTATATACTGCCAAACTAACAGACACTGTAGCAGTGTATATGTGCTACTCTGCTTGCTAGCTTGGCAGTACTTAGGTGCTTACCTCCTGTCTCCTGGTGTGTACGATGGAGAATGGGAGTGTGTGCATAGTTTTCTGTTCTCTGTTCAAATGGAGCAGTTGAGGGTGGGCTAGGCTGGTGTTGGCCTCCATCTTTCACTGACTGGGTGGTTCAGGAGTGGGTCGTGGTACTTGCTTAGTGGATGGTGTTGCAGGAGATGTTGGTATGGCTGGGTAGTCTGGACATGGTTGATGTCTTCTGCTGTGTGTAACAAAACACAAGAAGGAAAAAGTAAAACAAAAAGCAATTAAAAAAAAAAACGAGAAATAAAACTCAAATTTTAAAAGGAGGAAAAAGAAATCTAAAATCATTTTTAAACAGGAGGGGGAAAGATACAATGAAAAAGAGAGGAAAGGAAGAAAAAAAGAAGAGGGAAGAGAAAGAAAAGTGAGAAAAATAAAGGAAAGAGAAGACAAAAAATAAAAAGAGAGTGAGAAAGCAGGGATTAGGAAACCTGATTGATGCTTCTGCTGGTTGAGGAGGAGTTGGGGGTAGAGCATACAATCAGGGTTAGCATGCTCTGCTGGCCTAGGGTGCTGTGAGGGATGGGTCAAGATCTTGGATACCAGTTCAGCCTGCCTGAGAACTGGCTGAGAGTAGAGGACCCAGTTTGGGAAGGTTTTTCTGCTGCTTAGGAAGACAAGTAGAGGCAGAATATGCAGTCCTGGATGGCACATTCTGGTAGCCCAAAGAGGTGTAGAGCACATGTTTCCAAAGTCACAGGTGGCATGTACATACATAATGCTGTACTCATAAGGATGTGCTTCTGACCTCAGCCAGGGGTGGGTGGCATGTTTGTGGGGGGTGTCACTGGCCACTGAGTGGGTGGAGATTGGGGATGGACACACTTCTAGTCACTGGGAGTGTGGGGGAGATAAGGAGAAACATTCGTAATGGCCATGTTACGTGGAGCCCTGCTGGCAATTCACTACTCTGTGTAGATCCTCATTTGCTGTTTTCTTTTAGGGACTTCTCCTAGTCAGTATTTGGTTTATTGCTCTACAGTTTCCTTTGAAACTCAGGATTCCAGGATTATCATCCATATCTATTTCACTTCGTCTCTCTGATTGTCTTTGTAGAGAATATGGGTGGCTTGTCTGCCTAGTTTGCTATTTTGCTGAAAATATCAAATGACACTTTTTTTTTTTTTTTTGGTCCAAACTTTTAATACTGTTAAATATTTGTTTAAGTTCCTTTCTGTAGAGCAGTAGAACTGCTGGACTCTTTGAGATTTGGTGCCGTTTTGAAGTTCTCAGATTCAAACCCACTGTTAGTGGAGGCAAACACAGCTGATCCAGGTGTACCAACTGCGTCATTCTCCTGGGAGCCGCTGCAGAAGCACAGTGGCCGGTCTGCCTCTTCAGGTGTGGGAAGCCACTCCCAAGAGTCTGCAGTGGGTGTCCACCAGGTTTCTGCTGCTGTTGCTGATGCTTCAGATCAAGAGGATGGTCCTGAGGAAACAACACTGTCTCCAGAACCAGGGTTGTTGGAAGCGAGACCTCCATCAGGAAGTTTGCCCCCACAGAACTTCTCTGGTAAACACCAGTCTTTGCATGTTGTCCCTTTTATCTGTCCACCAACATTTCCATTGGAAAGAATAGTTGTGGTGGTTTAATTATGAAACCAGTTAAACATAAGCCTTTAAATTGGAGAGCGCCAGGTTTGTGCTAAAATATCCAAGTCTGAGTCTTCGTTTCCTTATCTCCAAACTTGGAAAATAATGTTATCCACTCCAGTGGGTTTTAAGAATAAAGTGAGATCTCAAATGTACCTTTGTCTTTCCCTAATAATCAGGTGGCTCATTGTATTGTTGTTGTTGTTGTTGTTAAGTGCTATTGAGTCAGTTCCAACTCATAGCGAGCCTTTATAGGGTTTCCAAGGAGAAGCTGGTAGGTTTGAACTGCCAACCTACAGCACTTTACCATTAGTCTTTGGTTTTTAGGTTGAACTGAAACTATTCCTGTGCTTAAAAAACCAACAGAAAAGTTCATTATCAGTAAGGAAAGTTCAGCTGTTCTTTTCCCTTGCTATCTCTGAGCCCTGGTGTATCACTGTAGGACAAGTGCTGGACTTGTAACAACAAGGTTGACACTTCAAACCCACCAGCCACTCTCAGAAACCTTATATAGGGTTACTATGAATCAGAACCAGTTTGATGGCACTTGACAATAACAACATCCCTGACCTAATGACTTCATGAGATTGCACTGCCTACTTAAGCAACAGTGATTACTTTGCCCTGTGTGCCCTGCAAATGCCACTGTACTCAAGGTTCCCTCCTGAGGTTAGCTTGTAGACAGGAGTTGCCTTTGGGAGGCAGTGCTGAGCAGACAAAAATGTCGCATTTGGAGCACAAGGCTCTTATGTTTTGTTTCTCTCCTCAAAGGAAAAAAGAGTCAATTGTGTTCTCTAAAAGAACAGTGCAAAACATACTTAATACAGAAAAGAATGTTGGGCCTGCAGTGTGTGACCCTATCACATATTAGCACAGCTATTTTAGAAAACTACACACCTACAGAACTCTGGCGTGGCGCTGTGGGCTAATGCGTCAGACTGCAAAGCTGTTTGAACTGCAAGGCCGGTGATTCAAGCTCACTAGCTGCTCCTTGGAAACCCTATACAGGGTCGCTATGGGTCGGAGTCGACTCGACAGCATTTAACAACAACAACTTGGAACTCTAGCTCTTTCTTGACATATGGGCCAGTAACACCTGCCTCTCACATTAGTTATGATGATAAAGTGATAAACTATTGGAGGACATTTTATAATCTAGAAAGTAATTTCTGAATTTTAGAAATTGATCAGGGTTTGGGTCTATCAAGAGAGTCAGTATTAATTTCAGTAGATTCTATGTTTTAAATGAAACATAATGATTTTGCCCTTTCACATAGATTTTGAAACCTACTATGGTGATATACAAGAAGCAATACCCTCAAAAGGAAGACAACCAGGTGACTGTGATTTTGATGTTACCTCTTTCCTTAACCCCTTATTTTTCATAACACCTATCTGTCTCTCACCCTCTTTTCTGAAACCCAGACTTATATGCCTTCCATGTCTTCCATCAAGCCCATTGACATCTCCCTAGAATCAAAGGAAAAAACTTCTGCTCATGATACAACTTGACTCAAATTTATATTCCTAGCTTACATGCTCCTAGATTTCCTATACCCTGTGCCCAAAGGTGGGTACTCTCCCTCTTCCATGACTTGATTCATGGGTTCCTTGGCTGAGAATGACTCCTTCACATTCTTCCCAACTGGGCTACTTGGTGACCTTCCTCCTTTCAGGGCTGATTCAGTGATGATCTCTTCAGGAAGGCTTTCTCCGTCTTTGCCTGTAAACCCTTAAGTTATTTCACCACACAACAGCCAGAATCATTTGGGAACCTAATAGATTGTCACTCTCCAACAATCCTCCAAGAGCTTTCCTTAACATTTAGGGTAAGCACCAAGAACTGTGGCCCAACATTAGCCCCTGGTGATTCCTCTAGCCTCACTGTTTACCATTCTCCCCTTATAACCCTAGTCACAAAACAGAAGAGCATCCCCACAACATTGTCTTTTTACCCAACCTGGAACTTTCTTCCTCCAGACTTTCAAAGAACTCACTTAAGTCTCTACTAAGAAACTGTCTTCAGAAAGGGCCTCTGACCATCCCTTTCCAATTCTGGTACATTGTATTCATCTTCATGATACTTACTATATTACGTGATTTCAGATTATTTCTTAAAGTATTTTCTTGTTTATTTTCAATCCTCTTGCCTACTAAATTCCAGATAGCAGGAACTCTGTTATGGGACTCACTACTGTAACTCCAGGTTCTAAATAGACTTAGGGCTTAGTAGACCAAAATCCATATTTGTTGAATAAATGAATGAATGAAGAAAAGAACATGCAATTTTTCTAGTAACTGTATGCTAGCAAAGTACATCTCTTAAATATTATTCCTTTTAAGATACTATTTTAGATATACGGTATCCACTAATAATAGATATAGTTATTCATATCATTAAAATCTTTGATAATTTAATAAAATTATTACGGATTATTTTCAGTGTAATCCACTGGCTTGATTTATCTTTTCAGGGAGCATTATCGACTTTCCCAGACCAGAACCAAGTGGAAATGATGACAAAAACCCCAGTGATGGGGATAACCTGCTTGGTCCATTCCGCTATTGGGGTAATGCCAGGCCCTTACTAATGATTGACTGGTCCAAATCCCTGATTAGCCCAGCTGTTTTCCAAGGCTATTCCCTATCAGGTATGATCTCCTTTTGCATGCTAGAATGATTTGGGTATCAACCCTTCCACTTCTGTTGATTTTTTATTTTTTAAATAGTTATTTGCAATATGTTCCTAGTGATAATTTTGTTATCTCTTGTACACCTTTCAACTTGATTTTGTCCCTTTCTGCACAGCATAGAGTTGGAGACTCTGTTACTAAAGGTAGAATTAACTCCTGTACCTACAGAAGCTTCATGTTTATAGATTGAAATGCCAGCTCCAAATGTAAAGTGGGAACAGAGCCATTGCTTGGAAGCTGAATGTGCAGGCCCAAATGTCAGTATTTGCTAAATGTGTGTCTCTCAACATCCTTATGTGCACACGTCTCTATTATGAACTTCATTAGTTTAGATTAATCATTTGCATGTATTAATCAAAATAAAGCTATTTCTGAATTACAGCTGTGTTCTTAACCAATTTTTCCCACCACAGTTTTATTTTAATTTACTGGGCTACACTTTTAATGGTAATACATATGATTAGGACTTAGCAATAAACTTTTCTATGGGGGCTCTGACCTCACAAGGTTATTAGACGATTTCTTCCTCTTTCCCCACAACAGCTCAGGATATTTTGTTTAAATAACCAAACTTGTATTCAGATCTTTTAAATTTTCACAGAGAGTAGTGAAGGTAGTCACCGTCTGTCTGTCAGTTTGTTAGACTATTGTGGCTTGTGTGTTGTGATGCTGGAAGCTATGCCACCAATGTTTTAAAAATCACCCATGATGGAGAGGTTTCAGCTGAGCTTCCAGACTAAAACAGATTAGGAGGAAGGAGAAGCAGATTACTTCCACATGTTTAGCCACTGAAACCCTGATGAATAGCAGTGGAACACTGTGAGGTAGCATCAGAATATTGATTATTGAAACATGATGAATATCACCAGAATACTGTCAGATATAGTGCTGGAAGATGAGCCCCTCAGTTTGGAAGTCACTCAAAATACAACTAGAGAAGAGCTGTCACCTCAAAGTAGAGTTGACCATGTTAATGTGAAGGGTGTAAAGCTTTTGCAACCTTCATTTGCTAATGAGGCACAACTCAAAATGTAGAGAAACAACTAAACATTCATTTATAATCTGAACATTGAATGTACAAAGTATGAATCTAGGAAAATTGGAAGTTGTCAAAAATGAAATGGAAGCTAGAAAGAATGATATCCTAGGCATTAGTGAGCTGAAATGGACTGGTATTGGCCATTTTGGATTTGACAATCACATCACAAGATTTAGTATACTGGGAATGCCATACTGAAGAGGAATGCCATTGCATTCATCATCAAAAAGCACATTTCAAGGTCTATCTTGAAAGTATAATGCTGTCTGTGACAGGACAATATCCATACACCTACAAGGCAGACAGTTATACCACTATTATTCAAATTTATGCACCAAATACTAAAGACATGATGATGAAATTGAAATTGATTCAGTCTGAAATTGATCAGATGTATTGATGATTCCTGGTGATTGGAATGCAAAGGCTGAAAACAAAGGGGAAACATCAGTAGTTGGAAAATATGGTCTTGGTGGGTGAAATGATGGTGGAGATCACATGATACAATTTTGCAAGACCAAAGACTTGTTCATGACAAATACTTTTTAAACAACATAAAAAATGAATATACATATGGACCTCACAAGATAGAATACACAGAAATAAAAGAAAATTTATTTGATTAAGAGATGATAAAAAAAGCTCATATCACCAGCCAAAACTAGGCCATGGGCAGACTGTGGAACAATCCATCAATATACAATTCAGGCTGAAGCTGAAGACAATTCACACTAGTCCATGAGAGTCAAAATAGAACCTTGAACATACCCTACATGAATAGAGATGATCTCAAAAACAGATTTGATGTATTAGACACTAATGACCAAAGACCAGAAGAGTTCTGGAATGACATCAAGAACATCATACAGGAAGAAAACCAAAGTTCACTATTAAGAAGACAAGAAAGAAGAAAAAGACCATGTGAGTGTCAGAAGAGACTTTGAAACTTGCTTCCCAGCATAGAGATGCTAAAGCAAATGGAAGAAATGAGGAGGTAAAATAACTGAACAAAATATTTCAAAAGGCAGCTCAAGTAGATAAAGACCTGGATTTAGAAAACCAAAAGGGATGAACACGCTCAGCATTTCTCAAGCTGAAATAACTTAGGAAACATTCAAGCCTTGAATTGAAAAATTGAGGGAATCTAGGGCTAAGTATTGAATGATGAGGAAAACATCAAAGGAAAATGGAATGAATACAGAGAGTCATTGTGCCTAAAAAAATTGGTCTATGTTCAACCACTTTAGGAGGTAGCATATGATTAAGAGCCAATGGTACTGAAGGAAGAAGTCCAAGGTGCACTGCAGGCATTGGCAATGAACAAAGTTCCAAGAATTGATGGAACACAAATGGAAAATTTTCAACAAACTGATGCAGGACTTAAGGTACTCACTCATCTATACAAAGAAATCTGGAAGACAGCTACCTGGTCAACTATTGGAATGTGCCAGTTTCAAAGAGAGGTGACCCAACAGAATGTGGAAATCCTCAGACAATATTAATATCACATGCAACAAGAATTTTAGTAAACATAATTTTTAAATGGCTGCATCTGCCAGAGGTTCAAGCCAGATTCAGGTGCATGTTGAATGAAAGATATCACTGGAGACATTAGATGGCTCTTGGCTGAAGGCAGAGAATACCAGACAGATGTTGTGCTCATGAGGAACTTTACCCAGACCAAGAGGCAATCATTTGCACAAAACAAAGGGACAGTGAATGACTTAAAATCAGGAAGGGTGTGCAGTAGGGCTATATTCTTTCACCATACTTATTCAAATAGAGAACTCTACAATAATATTGGGAGATTTTAATACATCATTTTAGAAAAAGAACAGAACATCCAGAAAGAAACTCAACAAAGACAGAGTGTAACTAAACAACACAATCAACTTAACCTTCTAGATTTGTACAAAGCATTCAACCCAATAAAAGTACAATACATATCCTTTTCTAGTGCACAGGAAACATTCTCCAGAATAAACCATGTTTTAGCCCACAAAGCAAGTCTCGATAAGTTGAACAACATCAAAATGCTAGAAACCATCTTTTCAGATTATAGTGCTATAAAATTGGAAATCAACAATAGGAAGATAAAGGAAATAAAATCAAATATATGGAAACTGAATAAGAGCTTACTTAAAAGCTATTGGGTAAAGAACAAATTAAAAAAGGAATTCCTAGAAACAAATGAGAATGAAAACACAACATACCAAAACCTTTGGGACTCGGCAAAAGTGGTGCTGAGAGGACAATTTATTGCAATAAACACACATCCAAAAAGAAGAATGAACCAAAATTAACACATTAACACAGCATCTACAACAATTAGAAACAGACCAATAGAGGGAAATTACAGGACCAAAAGAAAAGAAATAATAAAGATTAGAGCAGAAATAAATGAAATAGAAAACAGAAAAACAGTTGAAAGAATGAACAAGAAAAAAATGTGGTTTCTTTGAAAGGATTATAACATTGAGAAACCATTGGCAAAACTGACAGAAGAAAAGAGGAAGAAGATACAAATAGCACTCATAAGAAACCATATGGGTGATGTCACAACAGAATCAACGGAAATAATAAAGATAATGATAGAAAACTATAGAGAGGTATACTCCAACAAATTTGAAAATCTAGAGGAAATGGATACATTTTTTAGGAAAACATGACCTACCTAAATTAACACAGAGTGAAGTAGAAAAATTGAACAAACCTACAACAAAAGAAGAAACTGATCAGGTCATCAAAAACTTCCAGCCAAAACAGTCCAGGCATAGTTGGTTTTATTTGAATTTTACCAAACATTCAGGGAAGAGCTGACGCCAATGTTACTGAAACTATTTCCAGAATATAGAAAAGGATGGAAAACTTTGAAATACATTTTATGAAGTGAGCATAACACTCAACAAAATAGTAATTGAAGGGAAATTCCTCAGCATAATTAATCTCAATGGAGAGGCATTGAAAGCATTCCCGTTGTGCACAGGAACTAGACAAGGATGCCCTTTATCACCATTCCTGTTCAATACTGTGCTGGAATTCTTAGCCAAAGCTATAAGACAAGATAGGGAAAGTAAGGCATCCAATTCAGCAATGAAATGATAAAGCTCTATTTGCAGATGTTGGTGTTGTTGTTAGGTGCCATTGAGTCAGTACCAACTCATAGCAACCCTATGCACAACAAAACAAAACACTGCCCCATCCTGGGCCAACCTCACAATTGTTGCCACACTTGAGCCCAGTGATGCTGCCACTTTGCCAATCCATCTCGCTGGGGGTCTTCCTCTTTTTCTCTGACCCTCCACCTTACCAAATATGATATCCTTCTCCAGCGACTGGTCCCTCCTGACAATATGTCCAAAGTATGAGAGTCGAAGTTTGGCCATCCTGGCCTCCAAGGAGCACTTTGGCTGCACTTCCTCCAACACAGATAGGATCTTATATATAGAAAACCCCAAAGACTCGGCAAGACAATTATTGGAATATAGAAGGATTCAGCAAAGTGGTGGGGTATAAGATCAATATACAAAAATCACCTAGATTCCTCTATATTAATTAAGACAGACCTGAAAAGGAAAATAGGAAAACAATACCATTTACAATAGCCACCCAATGGATGAAATGCTTAGGAATAAATCTAACTAGAAAAACAAAAGACCTACCCAAAAAAAAACTACAAAACAGTATTACCAAAAGACAAAAGTTTTTTTTGTTTTTTTTGTTTTTCAATGGAAGAATATACAATGCTCATGGATAAGAAGGCTTAACATTGTGAAAATGCCAATACTTTCCAAATCAATCTATCGATATAATGCAATCTCAATGCAGAGTCCAACATCCTTCTTTTAAGAGATGGGAAAAAATGCCCATGAACTTTATATGGTGAGGAAAGAGACTTTGGATAAGCAAAGGACTGCTT